CGTAGAAACGTGCTGACTTTAGAGAATGGCCCACTCAGAAGAGCCGGGGGTCCCCCGCAAGCTCATGGTAAGCTTTCGAATAATGCTTGAGGTAGTTTGAATACGCGGTCCCTGGAAAGAGATTTGTGGTAAGTCGATTCGGGCAATTTTTTTCGGGCGAAATTCAATCGGACATGCAGGTCGCCGTGGCACTCTCAGCACAAACACTGAATCCGTGGGAGCTTTTCAGCAGTAGATCGCTCAGTAATGTCTTCTAGAGTAATACTGCCAAGCTAGGCACCCATAGATTTCAAACGATATGTTCAATTTCACTGTCCGATAGATCCTCAATGGAGATCTTCCTGCTTTCAGCGCTCAGATTTGTGAAGTGGAAGATGACCTGAAAGCGCTAGGAGTTGGAAAAATGTCGAAGCACCACTGTAAGCAACTACAAGGCCTGAAAAATTGGAAACCGTCGAAGTAGGACCTCTCAAAAATTCTGTGGGAGGCACAACATGGACAAATCTTGAAGATTTAGAAGAAGAAATTTTTCGAAAGTAAAGAATTGTTAACCCAGTCGCGACCGCGCGGGATTGCGCAATAGCAGGAGAGTCAGGAGATTTTTCTTCAATAAAATTTGAGTGGATGGAGATTTCCCCTGCCCAGGGCTGGCGTAGATGAATGAGGGTATGAAGATTCTTTTCAGGAAAGAAAACTTTCCAAATTCCATTTGAAACACGGCAGCCACCGGTGGATACCATTGTCCCGAGTGAGATCTTTGTCAGCCACCGGTGGCTGCCATTGTCACGAATGGGTTAAACAACAAATCATTCACCTCCGTCGCAGTTGTGGCCTTCTGTAGGGGATCGAAGCGAGAACATTTCGCCTTCCGAGACGGCTGAAAAAATGGTGACGACTCAGTGGGAGGTAAAAGCATCGCCCGACGAATCCGATCGTAGCACTCCTGGAAGTCGCATTTTTGACCAAGATAAAAATCGTGTCAAGTATTGACAGATGAGAACCCTTCTCTCCTTACATCCCGTTCTAAAAATGTCAATTTCAAATGCACGAAAGGGAAGTAGCGGATAGTAGCGCGGCTGCCAAGCAAATGCTCAGTAATTCAAGTCCTGAAGCTAATTGTGCTCAGTCTCTCCGCTTTCTACGCCAGTTTAGTGCCAAGTCTTCCAGAAGGATTCATCATTACATCCGTGACTCAATCACTACTTAAGGGTACAGGTCGCGTGTCCATTCTTAGAAAATTAAACAAGAAGAGCGAAGAGGAATCTTAGCCGGAAATAGTGCGCCATAGAAAACTCTGGAAACTCCCTCATGAAGTCGGGAATGATGCGACGGGGAGACCCAGCGTTGCGAGGAGGGAGAGAGCTCATTATACATGAAAGTACGAGACGCAACGTATGCTGCCACTGACATGTGTAGCAGCGGTTGCAGCGG